AAAGCCCCGAAATCATCTCAAGATAACCTCAAGATAACATAATGACATGTTGTACCTCTTGGTGCTGAATATATATTACCAGTAATAATGAAATATTTACTAACCTTTAAAAAAAGCTCTCGTGGATTAGCTTTAACTGGCTAATATGACGGCTTTTTACATTGAATGAGATTTTAAATTTGCTATGTTTGTGTATTTGAAAAGCCAGTGTTGAATGTAATGAAACACCAATTTCTGGGTGCACCCTGCCCTGGAAGCCCAAATTGAAACTGTCTATTTTCCGCTTGTTACAACTTGTAATATCCACAGGGGTGCCGGTGGCTGTGTGGATAGCACGCCAGATACATAATCCTGTGGCCCGGTTCTATTCCCGGTGACGGCAAGAAACAAAATGGGCAGTATCTTTCACCCTGATGCTCTGTTACCTAGCAGTAAATAGGTACCTGGGAATTAGACAGCTGTTACGGGCTGCTTCCTGAGGGTGCGTGTGTGGAAAAAACTAATAGTAAGCAACAGATGATTGACAGTTGAGAGGCAGGCCGAAAGAGCAGAGCTCAGCCCCCGCAAGTACAACTAGGTGAACACGCACACACCCAGAAAGCAGCCCGTAGCAGCTGGCTAATTCCCAGGTACCTATTTACTGCTAGGTGAACAGATGCATCAGGGTGAAAGAAACTGCCTGTTTCCACCTCCACCGGGGATTGAACCTGGACCCTTAGGACAACGAATCCCGAACGCTGTCCACTCGGCCGTCAGGCCCCTTCATGAAGTGGCGTCAGGGTGTTGTAACGGGGGCCAGCCTTTAACCTCACTTACTGGTTAAATGCTGGTGGTTATTAAGTAAACCTACAGACCAGAGTTCTGCTGTGTAACCTTCAGTTCAACTACTCGACATCTAAAACGTTTGGTCGTTTAGATGTCACGGCATGCACAGAGCTCCTGAACTCTACCAATGAGGTGGTAGAGGTACTTGGAATCAAGGTAGAAAATATAAATCTAATTATTATTCTAATATACAAACCACCAGATGCAACAGTTGAGACATTCACTGAGCAGATCCACAAAATAGAGAATATCCTTGATAACCTAGCAAACCTAGTACCAGATATTATCTTTCTTGAGAGACTTCAATTTACTCAGTTTACAATGGAGAATACAGTAGTAAACAATAACATTATAGCAGAAAATCAACCTGGAAATAACCAACCACAGGTCAGACAACTACTGAGATTCTGTGACAAATTCTCGCTCAGTCAGCAGATTACAGAACCGACTAGGAACGAGAACACGTTGGACCTCATATTCACGAACAATGATGAGCTAATCAGAGACATTACTGTCTCAGACACTATGTACTCGGACCACAAGCTCACTGAAGTGCAAACTAACATTAATAATGGTAGTAGGCCCAAGAGAAACAACAAGCGAGAAGGGTTATTCAATAAATTCTGAACGGAGTGAGAATAGCTTGAGCTACCTCATCCCTTTGTGTGTATTTTACCTCAATAAATTTATTTCAATAAATTCAATTTTAATAATAAAAGGATGGACTGGGAGAAAATAAACAGGGAACTTACAAACATTCAATGGGAAAATGTTCTAAGTAATAAAAATCCTACACAAAGAATAGAAAAACTGACTTCTGAAGCCTTTGAAGTCTGAAACATGTTCCTTTGAGGAAAGACAGAAAAAGGTCCAACGTAGAAAGAGAACGCAGATGACACTACAAAAGAAGAAAAAATTAACGGAAATGCTCAAGCAGACACGACTTTACATACAAAGAAGGAATAATTTAAACAGGGAGATTGAAGAAATTGAACAGAGTCTGAAGCATTCATATCAGATTGAAGAAAGGCAACAGAAAGCAATTAAGATTCATTACCTGACATAAGTATAACGCTGATTCAGCAATTACAGTGT